AAGTGCTACTGATCATGTTCAGAGCCCCGAGTTGGAGTGGCTCTCTCGCCCAGCCACTTCCCTCAACCCCGACTTGTTTATTTATTTTCAACTGCCCCGGGTGTTTGTGCGCGAGGTCGCAGCGGCGGGTGCTGGGGGGACACCGCTCCGGAGGCGACGTTTTCCCCGAGCTCGGGGCCGTGGGGGGAGCGGGGAGTATAGAGTACCCAAGGGACTGGGGGGGTCAGGAGGGCCGGCCCTGGGACATCCGAGCGCCCTCCCGGAGGATAAAGAGCGAACGGGGCTTTTGGCGCCAAACGCGCGGTCCCGCCCTGCGCGCGTGGAGGGGGGGCAGGGCCGTCGCTCCCGCCTTTCTCCCCCTGTTTCCTAGCTCTCCTTCCTGAGTGTGTCAGGGTTTTTACCGATTTTTTTTTATTGCCTTTTGGGGGGGTTAATAATATCCAGCAGCTTCAAAGCGAGGCAGTGACAGTCATCTGTCTGCGAGCAGAGGGTGGATGCGGAGGCCGGGGCGGCCGCGGGGGCCGGCGGGCGGGCGCGGAAAGTGCCACAGACACCATCAGCTGCCTTTTTTTTTTCTCTCCCCTTCCCCCCGCCACTCCTCCCCCTCACACACCCACCACCATCACCAAGGAGGTAAGAAGAGGAAGCTGCAGGCTCTGGGCTGCAGGACAAAACCCCAGTCAAATAAATCCAATTCTCTATCGCGTTTGAGTTGCCGAGAGGAGGATGGGGCGGGAAGGGGAGCGCAGGGGCAGAGCGGAGCGTGAATGGGGTTCTCACTGAGCAGAAGGAAATCCTGGAGGATATTTGTGTTTTGGTTTGGAGCTGTCGCATTGAGATCGCCAGTGTTTTGTAGGTGCCTCTTTACTGCTTTGCATTTTAAACGGTTTAATGTATTTCCCTAGTAGAAAAATGCACAGTCCTGGAGGCGCTCAGGGGGCGGGGCGGGAGCGCAGCTGAGCCGAGCCGGGCGCGTTTCTCGGCGTTTCATCATAAGGCTTTTCAAGGATTTTTTCTTCCCCCTCTTTTGGTCTCCGTTTCAGCGTCAGCTGTTGTGAACCCAGCAGAACGATTTCCTTTCGCGGTACCATTACCAAACTGAATGGAAACGCTGACTGGCTTCTTTGGACTTTAAGCCTTTTTTTTGGTTTTGTTGTTGGGATTTTTTTGTGTGTGTGTGTTTTTTTTAATGTCTGATGCAACGGAGCTCTCGGCGGAGGAATGGGGCAGTGGTTGAATGGCCGCGGGTAGTGAGTGGGGGTCTGGCCGAGGTAAGGGCAGCACCGTACATTCCCCGGAGTGAGAGAGCTGGAGAGCGGGTGTGTTTGCAGGAGGTTTGAGTGCATGAAGTGGCAAAATGAGCAGAGTTGTTGTCCTTGCAACCTCGCTGTTGCAGGAAAAAGGGGGAGAAAAACTTCCCGTGCCTTCTTGGCAAATCAGGAGGCTTTGTTGGTGGCGCCGGGGTGGTTTTAATGCATTTTGTGCGTGAGGTTATTACATAAGGTTGATAATTTCTGTTGCTGCTGGATTTCCCCTCCTCTCCCCCCTCCCCCCGTGGTTTGTGTGCGGATTTCGCTGGCTCGCTTTGAGTGAGTGAACTGGCGATTTGCGAAGTTGCAAAGAGCCCCTCCGCCCCCTTTTTTGCATCCTTCTCCTCTCCCCTTTGCACTGCTCCGCAGATGACAAAAGGAGTAAACTTCCTCTACTTTTGCTGGCATATTAAGAAGCCTTTCTGGAGAGATTACGGTATCAAAGCCATGCATCTGTCTGTAGTTACTCTGCAGTTTTGAGCGTTTGAAGCGGTTTGGGGAGAGCAGGCGAGGGCTATGAGCACAGGCTGGGTTTGTGTCCCCGCGGAGCGGCGGGGCAGGCTCTGCACGGGGGAGCACTACCTGAGCGCTTTGCTTTCAATATCTTGAGTCGGGAGGAAAGGTGTGAGATGCATTTTTTTCCTCAACTTGCTGAAGGCTCCCTCTGCCTTGCTATTGATGGTGGGATTATTATTTTTTTTCCCTTCCGTTAGGAGGGAGTCACGGTCTTGGCTGCTTCTTAATTCGTATTTTAATTGTGGTGTTTTTTTTTTTTTTTGGTTTAGTTTCAGGTCTTGGGAGAACCTCTTTTCTTCTTCTTCTTGGTGGAAATACCCATAAAACCTGTCTTTGAAACCATTGCCCGACCCAGGGATCAGCAAAAAGAGACCCGTAATGCCAGGAATGGTCAGTAAAAACCCAGATCTCGAGTTCGACTCTTTGCAGCCCTGTTTCTATCCAGACGAAGATGATTTTTATTTGTGCGGGCCGGACTCCGCTCCCCCCGGCGAGGACATCTGGAAAAAGTTTGAGCTACTGCCCACCCCTCCCCTGTCTCCCAGCCGGGCCGGGCTCCAGGAGCACCCTCCGGGGTGGGGCCCTGTGGCGTGGGGAGGGGCGGCCCTGGGGGGCTGCCGCCCCACCGATCCCCTGGACTGGGCGTCCGAGCTACTCCTGCTGCCCCCCGAGGCCGACCTGTGGGGCGGCGCGGACGGAGGGGACTTCTTCGAGACGGGGCCCGGCATGACCAACAATCTCAACTCCATCATCATCCAG